AACATTGCTTTCGAGCATACAGATTTCGAAGAGATGATTAAAAAAAAAGAAATCTACTGACTAAAATTTGATAGCCTTATTGTCTCTTTTTTCTCAGCAGATTGTAAAATACTAACAAAATCTTATCAGTTTAGAGTTTGTACAATAATTTCTCATTAGGAAACTATTGGAATTCACCATTGAATAGTTTCTCTATTCAAACAGACAAGAATTTCTAAAAAAGCGTTCAAGCATCATATTCACGGTTCTTGTTTTGAGCAATTTCATATTTATATAAATGCCAGGAAAGCTAGCCACTTTCATCATAAAATTCTTACGACAATGCTTGACAGTGACACCTTTTTATCTAGAAAACTTCCAATAATCCTTCTCAATATATTCTTGACATATGTCACAGATAACAAAAAAACGTCAAGATATTGTACGTAAAATTTTTTCATATTTTCCAAATGTAAATGGTACCTTTTTTTAAGCATCTCCACACAGTTTCTATCGTGAGAATAATTGGTTCTGATGTTTTCTTAAGGTGCACTTCTCAAAAATCGATCTTTGACCAGGTGCATTCAAATCTCATGAAATTTTCAGAGTGTGTTTGAGATATAGTGGGAAGACTAGGGCTAAAATTTTCAAATCTATATCCTCATGTTTACGAGAAATATTTAATAAATAAGAGTTATTAGACGATCAAAATTTTACTGCGGGCCCTCATTCTATAGATTTGATTCTTTTTTTTATTTCATAGATAGGGCTCAACATATAAATAGAAATTTTAAAAGGATTTATATCCTATCAGCTTTATTACAGAGAAACAAGCGCAACAGGTTTCGCTAAAAATGACATTATCGTAGTTTTTATAAAAAGAAGATTTTTTATCGTCTCAATAAAAAAAACCATTTTCACGAGCTAACTTTTTAAAGCTCGTATTATACATGGTTACTTATTGTGAAAAAACAGAAAATTACTAGATTTTATTTAATAAATTAGAAAATAAAACAAAAGCATATAGCGAACGAATATACAACAAAAAATTAAGGTAATGATTATTTAGTCGGATGATAATGATAGTTAAAAAAAATGAGTGAAGCATACTTCTTCTTAACGCCAAGAACACATAAGCATCGGCCTATCAACACAGCATTTTTCATGGCATTTATCTGTTTGAAATGTAAAATGAATATCTTTCGCATATCTATTGCTGCTCTCATTCAAACACGTGGAAGAACACCACCAAAAAAAGTAATAGAAGAGGTCTAATATAAGTTTAAAAAATCGGCTCGTGAAAATGTGCTTTTGTTGGAATAATAAAAAAAAAATAACTCATTTTTAATAGAAAATACAGTAGTATCGTTTTTAGAGAAACTTGTTACGCTTGTATTTCTATAATAAAGCGGCAATGGGACAAATCAGTTTTGGATTTTTATCTACATGATTTGTTCTATCTATGAGCCAAATATGAGATCAAATAGTGTGTATCCGTTGGCGACGTTTCGTCGTAAATGACAAATCAAGATTGCAGTTATATTTTAGTTACACTCAAGAAAAAATTCATATAAAGTGTATCCGTAATCTGAAAGTGGTATCTGAGTAGACTGACATCAACCCTCGTCTATTCTGATTTCAAGCTGCCTGCAAACTGAATTTGAAATGATATTTCGATATGGATTCGAACTAATAGTTCTCCATTCATGTTACTTTAGCAGAGCTATAAACTGAGATCAAAGTTTTTATTCTGTACTATTCTAGTTTAACTTTATACAATAATATCCAAAACTCTTCTAAATATTAATGTTTCTGATCTGATATCTTCTTGAACATTGATTCTCTCACATAGTTTATAACTTTTTTTTTTTACTTATTTCATCTTTTTTTTCAAATATTTCATGAAGTTTACCACATAGTCAATGTGTTTTCTTTACTTAATATCTATAAACAAAGTGATAACTTATATATCATTGAGGTATACAGAATAATCGTATCTTCTTTAGTATCCTGCAAAGTGACATAGAATTAGGATGAGACAAAATATACCATAGGATAGAATATAGGTATAAACTCAATAAGATAAAGCAAAGTTGCAATGAGAAAACTTTTTTTGTTAGACAGAGGGCAGAATAAGAAGAAAACCTTTTTCTCCAGATGTCTGATATATGATATCATATTTCAAGACACATCACTTCCATGATATGTGTTGAGCCAAGCCTGGGTGATTCCGAGTCATGACTTAGACTCGAAAATTGGATAACGTTGACTCGACTGTTCGAGTCGAGTCATTTATTAAGGATAATTTTCGTTGTCTCCTGCATAAAGAAATTTTAATAAATACGGTCAAATCCTTCCTTACTTATAACTTTTGTTCTAGTTAAATAAACTGTATCCAAATAATTTTCTCAGGAGCTTTCTTTAGATTTGCGTATTCATGTGACTGTGAATAATATTCTATGCATAGCTTTGAATATGTGTGTTTTTTTTTCTGACTTTTTATTTCGACTCACCTTTGACGTCTGTATATATATGTATGTACAGAAATACATGAAAATTTTACAATGGATCACACATCATATTCTTTACTACGCCGTAATATACTTGTTGTGTAAAACTATTTTGATCATCAAATTTCTCCATCATTAATTCCATATGATCCACTTCTCAGCAAAGAGTGTACGCTTGTGTATGTGATCTTCTTTCCCTCTACACTCATCCCTTTGTTTTGAAAATTAACTAATATCGATTTCTTAAATAATGAGATCGAGTTCCTTAAATTTAACACACGCAAATATTTCTATTTGAACCTCTCTAAAATACAATAAGGTATTTGATTTAAATTGTAATAAACACTTTTTGCTTCTCAACAGGTTTAAAAGTAGATTTTTGTTTACGAAGATATTATATTTTTTACTGCAGTATGATGCTTCGCAACAAAGGAGAATTAATTTTGCTGTTCATTTTTTTTAATTAATCTGTTCTAGCTGCCTCAATTTATTTTATATGTAACCATTTGTGGTTTTTGTGCATAAAACTAGGAACTGCATCTTAAATAATGAAAAGACTTGTGCTTAGTATTCTTGATAAATATCAACATAAAACAAAAAAACAGTAAATATTTAAAAAGAGCTTCATTCGACTTGACGTCGAAACATTGGTGACTCGGACTTTACTAGACTCGAGAAACGGCTTGGCTCGTCCAGCCCTGTATTAAACATTGTTAACTCTTTAGTTTTCAACTTCAAAAAAGAGAAATTGATTTTTTTGTTTATACAGGGTGTCCCAAAAGTCCGCAGAAAAATAAAATGTGAATAACTCTTCAATAGCTTAATCGATCTTGATGAGCTTTTCATCATTTTATAGGATATTTTCTAAAGTTTTAATTCACATAAATTGATTTATAATAGATGTTCAAAAGGACCACCTAAAACTGACATACATAAATCTACCCATTTTGAAACATGTGAAAAAACATTACACAAAATCTTCTTCTTGAATCATGTTGATTTCATCATCGAATATTCTTTTACATATCAACAAGATATTTTGCACTAAAATTTATCTAAAAGTGCCGGTCGATATGTAAAAGAAGATTCGATGATGAAATCAACATGATTCAAGAAGAAGATTTTGTGTAATGTTTTTTCACATGTTTCAAAATGGGTAGATTTATGTATGTCAGTTTTAGGTGGTCCTTTTGAACATCTATTATAAATCAATTTATGTGAATTAAAACTTTAGAAAATATCCTATAAAATGATGAAAAGCTCATCAAAATCGATTAAGCTATTGAAGAGTTATTCACATTTTATTTTTCTGCGGACTTTTGGGACACCCTGTAGAAGCTATTTAATATCTTCATATAAAATGTACATGAAAACGAATCATTTTAAGCTTTTCATAGTCTTATAAACATCAAATTTTTCATAAAAGATTGAATCAAACATTATTAGACAGTCTACTATGTACATTTATAGATAAAAAACAAATCAACAACAATCATGTGGTGGATAACGACTCATTTATTATGTATCTCTTTCTTTTCCTTTTCTTCGTCCGTGTTGCTGTTTGTCGCATACAATTCAAAGTGCAGTGATTTGTGACTTATTCTGTCTGCCTCTTGAAAAGATACTACCTGTGTTTCATTAAAATGTCAAATAATAAATTATAAATATGAATTCTTGTTATCAACCGACTTAGATATGGTATTAATAACGATAAACAGATGAAAATATGAACAATTTTTTCAATGTTTTTAATCGAACTAGGACAGAAATGTACTTCTATGTTCTCATGTGTAACTTCGTTAATCACAGTCAAATATACCCTATAAAGGATATGATTTAATATATCCCAAAAAAGCACTTCTACTGTTTTTTGCCTCTAGTCTTCTTTTTTTTTGTATTTTCGATTATTCATATTGCTTCTCTTTATCGATCATAAACAGTTTGAGACTGTTTGCTTTTCTATCAAGTCATACTCACCTATAGATATATAACAAATATAGGTACATTATCATTGTATCATTCGACTTTGTCTAGTTACTTATTTTTTTTTCATAACCAATATATATTATTAACGTTCTTTTCACTTTGGATAATTTTCTTGTTGTATACCCTGGCTGCTTTGTGTCGATCGATGTATCAAAATAAAAATGAAGCAATATAAAACATAATGATTAGTTTTATTTAGAAGGTATTTTTTTCTGAAGCATATAAACAGTTGTGATAGCAATTTTTATACAATATGTGCGTCTCAAAATATTTCAAACATCATTTAACATTATTCGAAATATTACCCAATGAACTTTTTCTCGAAATTTTTGACTATTTGAACGGTGTCGATATTATTTATGCATTTTCACAATTAAATAATCGTTTTCAACATTTACTTATTAATTATGTTCATACATTTGATTTTACATCTATAACGAAAGCTAAATTTGATTGTGTTACTCAACATCATGATATTCATCGATGGAAATCATTACGCCTTT